CCCACTTTGGTGGCTGCTAATGAACTTGCACTACACAACTGTCATCTCTTATTTAGCTTTCTTTGTGTATTTGACAATAATAGAAAATAAAAGACAGCCAGCTCTCACTGTAGACTCCAGCCTGTCCAAACCCTTCTCTGATACTTCTGAAGACATATCACATTTTATGGCTTCAGCTACAACTCCCCGGCCAGACTTCTCATTCAAGTTGCTCCTGAACATAGACCAAGGCCTTTCTGAGCAAAGGGAAAAAAAGCATTTGGCTAATGCTAATGTTTCTGCTGTTAACAAAGTTATTTCTGTGGAAACATCCCCTTTCACCTCGCTTTAAATCCCAGGCCTCTCTGTAGTTCTGTCTCCAACAGAAAGGCTCATGCCCTGTTCACGGTCCTGTCCTACTCACAGATCTCAAAGTCATCAAAAAGCCGTAAGATGATTACAGGCACCTTTAGCCATGACCAAAGAATCAGCACAATTACCCTACGCTACGTAAGGCCAATTCACAGTACAAACTCCACTGTGATAAGAAACACTATGTACACCCTGAACCAGCGTTGGAATTGGCTGTTCTCAATCATCTCCCCTTGCCATCCCACTTACCAACAGTGTCTCACACCTGTCTGCTCATAAAGGTTCCATCTTTTTTTTTTTTTTCTTTAAGTCTTTTACATTGCAACAGTACTGAATTTATGTTTACAATTGTTTTTAGGCTCTGGAAGGTCCTTCTGAACGGTAATAAGTTGATGAGTTCAGATGATGAGTTCAGCAGTGATGACTGGGCAAACCAGTGTGGGAAGGAGAACAGTCTTGTTGATTCATTTTCAAAATGAAAATGCATTTCAATTTGAAAAACAAAAAATAAAAATAGAATTCAGGAGAGGAGGCTATCTATATGCTATAAACCAACCGTGTATCAAAAAGTAGTGTCCTCTTACACAAGGGACTTTTTGCTGAGCTGTAGACAAACTTGAATGTCACCACCTTTATACTTCACATTGCCATTGATCAGGAAAAGCAAATACCAACAACTTTTAGGGACAGATAAAAACAAACAAACAAACAAAATGGTAAGAAAGCATCACCTAGAAAGAGAAATTCTTTCTAAAACTTTCAGCAAAGCTGAGGATTAGCTAGTCAGCCCATAGACCAAGCTTCAGCGGTTGTGAGCAAGCACCGCAGCCGCTCCACACTGCTACCATGAAGAGATCTAGGAGAGATCTGAGGACTGGGGAGTGGCACTGCCTCTCACCTGCTCCCCACAAAGGCATCATCCAGGGGGCTGGACAGCACAACTACTAAGTTCGTCCAGAAACTGTCTGAGAAACTTTTGAAATAGGCTGTGGAGGAGTTGGGCAAGTTCAAGAGCAGACAGTTAGCAAGAAATGCCAGCTCCCCTTCCTAATATTAGGCTCTATTTTCAGAAGAAAATATATTCAAGAAAAAACATAAAACTTGCAAATAAATATAAATTTCAATGAATAATTTTCATTCTGTAAAGAGTCAGAAAAGGAAAATACAGGTTTTTATGCTTCCCAAAGGAGCATTTGTCATTTATCCCAGTCATGGGGTAGGGATTCCCTATTACATCCCACAGACAATATTGCCCCCTCACCTCAAGAAAATGAGATCAGGAATAACGCAGACTGCTGTGAGGACGTTACATAATATATCATTTTTTTCCCATATTCTCTTTTACAACAGCAATGCATAGATGGACCAATCTAAAGCAATTTATAATGAATATGAGATTTAGACAGATAAGCAGACATTTCACATGACAGAAAGCATGTGAGTTGCTGCTCTTTCAAAGAACTACGGCCTCCTCAGAGAGGCCTATGTTGGGTCTGAATCTGATTCATCTTCAATTCAAGAAATAGTTTAAATTGTTCACTAAATGGCTTAAGTGTATGCAAAACAGCATATTTGTTTCTTCATAAAAAGTTCATTTGCATTTCAGTCAACATTAGTCTACATATAATTTTATTTTATTATTGGTTACCAAAGGTTAAGCAAAACCATCAAACCAACTTCAAGTATGACTACACCCCACTTCACCAATGGCAAAATCAAGCTTAATATAAACATTGAAAAACTGACATGACTCTTTAAAAAAGGACATCTACCAATAAACTATAGGTATCCTTTGCAGCAGTTTAGAATATACTAATTTTAAATTGAAGATAATCTCCCATGTTTATACAGCTGCTCAAAGAACGAACTCAAAAATTATGTAAAGGACCTTTACAATGTGTTCAAAAAGTTGGATTAAAAGATATTCACTAACTTGATTTATTCTCCCTGTGTAAAACATGGCAAAACCTTCCAGGAAAACAATTCTAAAAACATAGGGAAAATAGTGATCATTGAATAAAATACTGCACTGTGGTGGGAAAACACAAACACTTTTTCCCAGGCTGTTCTGCTGAGCTTTTCAGATTATCTCAGAATCTCAGATGTGTCATACCTTACCATAGGAAAAGAAACATTTTAAATGCAGTATCAAAATAATAAGAAGAAAATTCTAAAAAAAAATCTTCTGATAACATAACTCCCCTCTTCCTAAAACCTGTAGCAATCCTATTTTCAAAATTCCTTTCCCCCAAAATAAATTAAAAAAAAGAGGATAGTCTGCAGTTTTATGCCTAAGAAAAGTTTGCAGAACTAAATCCTAATTTTGTAAAGCATCGTTCATAGTTTACAATGTCCCCAAGGTATTCTACTACGTCCAGTTATATGAAGTAATGAAATAAGTAATGTTTTCTTCAGTTAAAAAGAAAAATTACTCCTGTATCTTTTCATGCCTAAATCAGACACCTGCTGAATCAATAGTCATGTATTCAAAGTTCAGTGAGAAAGCAATGAAAGATTCCTGATTATATATATATAAAGGATTAAAGAATCATAAATATGCTACAAGAGCTATGCATAGCTACGTGCTTATTCTGCTTGTGAATGGAAAAGGAAGGAGGAAGGGTCTTCAAGGAAAGTAGCCAAAGGAAACTGAAGCAAACGTAAAAAGCATTTCAAGGCTATATTTAGAGGAAGACATTCTTCATACATTTGCCAAGCTATTCACGTCACTTCACACAGCATGTTTTATCCAGCTTTATAAGGCAGGGGGGGCAGGAATCTGGATCAGTTGCCAGAAATGGAAATCTTGCATTTATGTAGAGGAATGAATATTTTAAGCATGTTAATTCAAAAGCACTTTCCAAAGGGGGAAAAAAAAAAAAAAGAAAAGAGGGGACAGGGTGTTAAAGCTTTCTACAGATATCACAGAAGGTTTCTGCAGTATATAGTTTATAAGTAACATGACTTAGCATCTAATATTCCCTTTAAAACCAGGCTCACTAGCCTTAGCTATATCACTAAAAATTTCACAAAGTTCAAGTCCATGTTTATGTGTATAGGATCCATTATTTCTATAAGCAATTACATATTTCTCCTCTATAATGTGGTAAACAACAAGAAAAGATGAATAAACAAACACCAAACACAAGCTCAAAGGTGAAAACAGAAACAAAAATACTCCAATTTTATAAGAATATTATGATTTTTCTTTAAGTTGTTTAGCACATGTAACGAGGTTCAGCTATTTGTATAAAGAAATGTCAAACATACAGAAAATATGTCAGTACCAGATGTAATGGCAATAGGAACAAACCACATGGAAATTTTCTGTTAGTGACCTTCTGGAGGGTGGAGATGGAATTAATTTGAGATATAGGACTTGTTTTACTTAAATTTACACATATTATTTCTATACAAAGTTTTTACCTTCATTCCCTTCTCCAGGTGGCTGATAAAACGAAAGCCCCAAAGATATGATGGCTGCAATTTCCAAGATTATAAGAGTCACATCCTGCAACGCTTCCCAGACTAGCTGTAAGAATGTTTTTGGCTTCTTTGGAGGTATAAAATTTTTTCCAAAAATAAGCTTTCTTTTTTCTAGGTCTGCAGCAGTGCCAGCTAATCCTGTAAATAAAATAAAATAAAATAAATTAAAATTGCAGTAAAATAGAAAATGCCCCCTTATATCTGCATTTCTATAAATTATTTCTCCAAGAACAACTACAAGCTGTACCACCTATGGCATATTAAGAAATAGGTACATTTTCCACTTACATTTTGCTTTTGGAAGATGATTTGTCCTTATGTTCTGAACAGAATCCTTATGGACTCTCTTTAGTACTAATTCCTGCCAGTTTTAATCATAAAAAAGTCTTTGAATTAGCAGGTTTACTTTAATAAGACATATGTATATAGATACATACATACATGTATGCAATGACTTCTGAAAATAGACCATAAAGCACAAATAAATTACATTTGAGATGAAGTTGGAATAGCTGTTGGCAGTTTTTGGTAATATTGGTAGAAGCAGCATACGTGTCTTTGTCATGACCTCAGGTTGATGATCTCCAAGGATAAATCAATAAAGCATGTAATATTCTACTTCAGAGCAACCTCTCTTGCTGCATAGGTACTGCCACACAATCACTGGAATGAACTGCATCAAATTTTTGTTAACTGGGAAAAGACAGCCAAAGTGACAGGATATATATATGCAAAGAAAGTAAAAAGGAAACAATATGGTTCCTTAAATCGATAATAAAAATGCATGTATTTGGCATGATACTTCAACTTAAGAACATTTCAATTTAAGGATACAGTGTAAGAATGTGGGGTTGCACTGAACAACCACACTTAGGTGGTTTTTTTCCTATTTTTTAATTACATTAATGTATGCATGTCCAGCGCCTTTTCACAAAGGAAAAAAAAAAAAAAAAGACAAGACTTGCAAGTGTTAGGGTAGAATAACTGCCCATACACCACTCTCAGCAGCATAAAGAACTGCAATAAAATAAGCGGTTACATATATCTGTCAAATAATATTTGACATCAGTTGGAACATCTACAAAACTGTAGGTTTTGAATGTGATCAGCAACATAAAGTTATTCATGCTTATTCACACTAACATGACACAATGAAAATACTTAAACTGAGAGTTGACCTCGGAGAGCTACAAAAGTGCCTGCAAAAGAGCAAGAGGTAATGATCGATCCCACGCTTTAGGTATTCCTCTCCTCACGCAGTTTAGGGTAAGCCTTTGCCTCCCCCAAAGCATATCAGCACCTATAGGATACTTCAGGAATGGAAAGCCCTATTAATAGCATCTTCAAGATGCCAAGCAAAGGAAATCATGATCCTAATGTGCTAATGGTACTCGGTGTTATGTCTCATTCATTCAGGACTGGCGCAACTGTGCAGTGTGCATGTGCCAGGAAGTCACCTCTCGGGTGAAAGCACCAGGCCCAAGTGTAATTTCCTCAAGACCAAAGCAATGCTTTTCTGAGCGTATCAATCCTGCCACAGTACAGGCAAAGACACTGACTCATCTTTCACTTAAGGTATATAATTACAGCTGTTGGGTAGCTTCTGGCTCTTGGTTAACTCATCAAACTTTCATTTCACCTTCAGCTTCTAAGAAACTCTATCCTTCTCTCCCAGATAAAGGCATGCTGTAGTTATGATTACCTCACTTCATTTAATTTTCAGTACCTAGTACTTAGTGACACTGTAACAGACAAGTTCCAGCTATTATGATGTTTGTCTGTGTTATTCTTCGTGATTCAAACAATAACATGTCAAACGTCTCAGCTCCTCCGTGAGCTCCCAGTCAGCTTCCAATGTGGGGGAAACGCTTTCCGCTATGAAATATGAATTGCAAGGTATGATCCATTTGGGTAGCTGCCCTTTTGTGAACCAATGCAGATCACAGAATTTATGACAATGCATGTGAGAGATCAGGGGAGTCACTAACCACTGATGGGGTCCGACACAGGGACAATCCTTTAGCAGAGACCAAACAAATGCAGTTTGATTAGCTTTCAGCGGGCTGCAAAGCCCTTCAATACAAGGAAGGATTTTCACTCCAAATGGCATGCACAATTTGCACTAGTCCACCAAAACACAACCTACTCCAAATACAGCAGTGACTTCATACATAAAGAGGAAAGTACATTGACAGCATGGATAATGTAGGGATTTGGGACAGAAATGTTCATATAATGCATCTACAAGCAGCAATACAAAACTCTGAAACAGAAAAAAACTCAAAAGCACATTGGAAAGTGGAAGGAAAAAATGTCTGAAAAATGTCTATTTTCCAATACAGAACATATGTGCACAGTGGTGGGCCAGCTCCAACAGGTAAGCAGCTGACTGGGTACTCAACAGCATGAAAGGGATGGCTGAAATAGTACAGGAAAACAGCCACAGTATTTCTCAAAAATCCCAATTCTATTTACCTAGACATGATGAATTCACAACTTCGAAATTATGCTATATACTTTACTGTCAGGAAGCCATAAAAAGCATGCATATCCTGTTCTATGTTACTGATCATAATGCACATATAAATACATGCACCTACCGAGAAGCCTCCGAAGCAAAGAGACATAGTGGAACTCAAAGAGTTGCTTTTTCTCTAACATAGAAGTTGTTCATTTCGACACTCTAAGGTTGAGGACTAGACTGAGTGTCCTGGTTTCTGCTGGGATAGAGTTAATTTTCTTCCTAGTAGCAGGCACAGTGCTGTGTTTTGGATTTAGCATGAGAAGAATGTTGATAGCACACTGATGTTTTAGTTGTTGCTAAGTACTGCTTATGCTAGTCAAGGACTTTTCAGCTTCCCATGCTCTGCCAGGTGCACAAGAAGCTGGGAAGGGTCACAGCCAGAATAGTTGATCCAAACTGACCAAAGGGCTATTCCATACCATATGACATCATGCTCAGTATATAAACTGGGGGAGGTTGGCTGGGGGGCAGTGATCGCTGCTCAGGGACTGTCTAGGTATGGGTCAGTGGGTGGTGAGCAATTGCATTGTGCATCACTTGCTTTGTATATTGTTATTATTATTATCATTATTATATTGTTATTATTATCGTTACTATTTTACTTTATTTGAATTATTAAACTGTTCTTATCTCAACCCAGGAGTGTTTCTCACTCTTACTCCTCCGATTCTCTCCCCCATCCCACCGGGGCAGGAGGAGTGAGCGAGCGGCTGCGTGGTGCTTAGTTGCTGGCTGGGGGCAAACCACGCCCGGAAACAGAAAAACTGACCCCATGACACCGAGTTTAAAGCATCTGTGGTCACCATTATCTTCCCAACTATAGTCTAAGTAACCTACACTGGAATTTAGACAAATTTTATTTAATTGTGCTCTTTCATTTTTTGTAATAAATATTATCTTCCTTAAGACCCATAAATAGACAAGGGTAAATTGCGTGTGTGATTTTATTCTTTTCTATAACCAAGTCAGTCTCACCTAAAAATAAGAGCATATTCATCTTTAATTATCAAACGTATTTTCTTCTAAATCATTTAGAAATGCTGGAAAATGAAATTCAATGTTCAGTTCAAATGAAAAAATTTACCTTCTCCTGAATCTGGCCATCACTCAAAAAAACCCTGTTCAGCAATATTTTTTTTTTCTCCCACTGAATGCCAGAAAGTAACAAACTCCTATATTTACAGAGAGAGAAAGGAAAGGATGGAATGAAGAAATCTACAGACCAATAGGTGAAATCACATAATAGTCCCAAGCATTACTGTAGAGATAAAGTCAGAAAGGGACAATAAAATACATCGAGAAGCCAAAGTTATACAAAGGGATAGGGAAATGCTTATACAAAGCTAAGGGAAATGTGATTGAGAAGCTGAGGCAACGCAAGATGTTTGTTTTGCAAAAACTTCAATTAGTTCTCAATACTATTGCCAGCAGAAGGTATAATGGGGGCACTCCTTATCTTTTTCAAATAATCTGCTTTATTCAGAGGCATTACTTTAAATAGTCCTAAAGGTGTTTTCGCCAAGCCTAACTTAGCTGCTTGAAGTGGATTAGAGGTCACTCACACTTTCTGTCCCACTGGCAGATCTGCGGGATGCTGCTTCCCAGCTAGTGCATGCTGACAAGCAGTACAGATGGTAAAAACGTCAATTAGCACAGCAAGATCTGGAAGTGGACGTCTGTCCTCACCAGTACTTTTAACCAGGAGATGGCTTTCCTGCTGCTAGATTTTTTTTTTTTTCCATATTCCACATACTGACTTCACTACTATTCCTGAATATTTTATTTCTCGTTTGTCCCTTAATTTAAGTATTGAGTCCTATGAGTGACAATAATGAAAGAACATTGCAAACAAAAGTAATTTGAAGTATTATTTCTATATGAAGATATAAAGCATCTAAGGAAGTGAAGAAGAACCAGTGTGGACTAAAAAAAAATGAATGGAGATACCAGTTCAATATTACTTCAGACTTCATATGTTACTGGCAAAAGAAGCCTTCTGTGTTATACTCTGTATGCCAATAAGCCACAGACTGGCTGGTTTTGTGTGCATGTGTCCACACAAGCATGAATTTTTTTTTAAGTACTTTTCTATGTTGAAGCTGCACAACACTTCTTTGCTTGACCCAAGTGTTTTAGAATGATTATGCAGATTTGGGTTAAATTTATATACAAATAGTATGCACAGATTTAGGAAATATTGCAAAAATTTATTATTGATGCTTCCAGCACTTGAATAATTTCTCAAGGTTTCAGTTTCCAAAAATTTTCCTGAATATTTGTTTGAAATTTGTGGGAGAACGAAAGTGACTGCATAGGAAACATTTTGTACAATGTTGCGCAGTATATTAAATGCATTTCTGATTTCATCTGGCATGCTTTTATACAGAAATTGGTTTAATTGTTGCTTTTTTGGAGGGAGAAAAAGATTAAAAAACTGGAGAACTGCCACTTAGTGAATTTTCTCTGTTCCTTATCTACATCTGTCAGTTAATACATGCTGAATATGAAAACATCATTTCAATTAATGCTTCCTGGAAAATTGTATTTCTCTGACAGTCATCTCCACTGCCACCAAATGGAGCATGACAAACAGAGAACTATTTTGATGCTGCAA